TAAACCCTAAACCCTAAACATTGAGGATGGTGGGTATACTGGAGTTCATCAGCCACTACGCCGAGGCACGGCCTCGGCAAACCCTCAGTCAGAAGTGCACTCTGAGTCTCAATGCCAAGTGCTGCACTACTGGCTCCTAGTAGTGATCGCACACCTGCGTATAGTCGCCGTAGACGGAGCAGGAGGGTAGGAGAAGACTTTAGTCTTAGATGGAGCCGTTTCGGTATTACTTGGCATGGTCGGAGTCTGAGTCGGGGCCTGGAGGATGGCAACGTGCACTTCCGCCGGCGTGCAGAGTCTCGGAGCTCAGCTACCCGGCAGATCAGACCAAGAGGACGTGGGTTGAAGCGAGGTTTAGGGTTTAGGGTATTAGGGTTTAGGGTATTAGTGTATTAGGGTTTAGGGTTTAGGGATAAGGGAGTAGAAGGGGCTGAGGTGTGCAGGACGGCACTTCATAAACTTGACCACGATCTCTGGAATCTCCTGTGCTGCATCTTGAGGTCTCGGAGACATCGGACCCGGCGAAGTTCGCCGTGGAGGTGGTGAAGGCATGCTGGGCTCATACACTGCTGCCGCTGCCTGCACCGCCTCGCATCAGCATCATCACACCACCATCATCACATCACCGTGCTTTCTCTTACAATGGCGTTGTCACTGGTTCTTCGCACTGTCACTAGCATCGTGGCTCTCTGTCTGTTGATAGCCCACATCACAGTTCCTTCTACTGTGATGTGACTGTTGCTTCTCTGCAAACATATCGCTTTACACTTCGCCAAGGAAGTCCAGGCTGGTTCTGGTGCTGCTGCTGCCTGTTGTGGGGGTGGTGGTGGTGGTCTAAGTGGTGAATTGCTGATGGCGGCGCTTGTCGTTGATACTTCTGCTGCAGATACTGTTATCGTAGTGGCTGTAGTGGGCCGTCGTTGCTGTTTCTGGCACCGAAGCATGGAGCCAGACTTGTTGCGGCCTGTCACGTTGGCGTTGCGAGCCTCAACAAAATCAACAGTCATGATGATTGTGAACCTTAATCATCCCGAATGCTTCTTCGATGTGCATGAGAAGGCTGCGAGTCCTACGAAACCTCGAAGCCTCAGACTGTGATGCCTTCGCAGGCCATCCGGCGGGAGGAGGACAGCTTCCAAGCCTCCACGGAGGTGCGGGGAAGCCCTGGATGTGCTATACGATGATGAAAAGCCACGACTACAGCTGTTTTGGGGGTTTGTGGTTGGGGATTTCTGGCAAGTGCAGAATCCGTAGGCAGTCACAGCTGCCACCACAAGGACCAATGCGACTCGCTTTGCGACGGTACGCTGCGCGCTCTGCGGCGGACACTGCCAGTGTCGAAGGCTGCGAGGGTGCCATGGAAGGTGTATGCAGGGCTTCCTGACCCCTGCACCCCGATTCTGTAGTACTTGTGTCTCTAACACCCCGACATCTAGCCCGAAATTCTCAGATAACTCCAAAACTCGACGACCTCTAGCTCGAACAGTGCGGTTGCGGACAGCAGTGTCGGCGGAGAGACAAGGGAAGCTAAGAAAACCTCACACGCTAAACCCTGTGCACACTCCCTCCGAACGCAGAACCCGGATTCAGGGTTTAGGGTTGAGGGTTTAGGGAGGCCCAACCCTACACCGTAAATCAGCTCTAAGCCTTAAGCGGGAAGAACCCCTTTGTAGAAGCTTTTCTGAAGAAAAACCTCATAGTCGCTTGTATGGTAACCCAGAAACCCACAATAGGCTAATTCTCGTGCGTC